ATACAACTTTAAACGTACTGTGCCTATAGAAACACATGCAGATTGTAATAAAAAGTACAACTTGATATATTACACTGTAGTTTTAACTTTTTTAATATGCCCCAGTGGAGGTCTGTATTCGAAACTAACGAAATAATAAAATATAAATGGAGTTCAACGTTTATCGGTTTATGTTTACAATATTGAATTGTATTTCCGGTCTGCGCTGATTGGTTGTTATTAATTGACCTGTGACATTCTAATTGAAGGGCGGCACGCAATTATCATAGGGATCCTTGCAGGCTCTCTTTCACCCAGAGAGCCTGCTCGCAGGCTAGTAATATTTTTGTACAATACCTTTTTCAAATTGTTGATACCGGTCTCATTGTAACTCAGTTATTCCTTCTCAAGAAAAATAAAAAAACAAAGCTGTGTGGGTGTGTTTTGCTCTAGTTTTTACATTTACATGATTCATGTACAATTAATGTACATCTAAATTAGCTGTTGGTTCTGCTCATGTAAGTTCGTTTTATGTAGATAATCGATAATAATCTATCAAAATGACAACAACAAGACAACAGCTTACTATTGCAAGCTTTCGTGAACTGTGGAAAAATGAATTTCTGTCAGAAATTCGAAAGGAAATCGACTCAGCGAATGCCTCGCTATATACTGAAATTCGTGATCTAAACAAGCGCTTGGATGAGTTTGAAAAGACCCTGTCCTTCTTTTCCGAACAGTATGACCAGTTAATAAAGATTACACAGACAACTAAGAAATAAATGCAGCAAATTGGAAGCAAAATCGAAGACCAGGGTAAAACAATAACCGGATTAAAGAACAACGACTATGATAATATGGCCGCCATTGACGAAATCCAACAACACCAAAGGCGTGATTGTCTGGAAATTACAGGTATACCTACATTACCCAACGACGAGCCGAAAAATATTGTCATGGAACTTGGAGCAACCTTAGGCGTTTTACTGAACGAAAATGACATATCTACGGCGCATAGACTTCCCCCCACGCGGAAAATTCAAGACCGCATTATTGTCAAGTTCGTACGCCGCGACATACGAGAAGAAATTTATAAGAAGAGGAAAGTTTTAAATGGAAAACTGACAGATTGCCTGCCCTCAGTAAATGCAGAAATTGGCAAGAGTATCTCTCAACCCACAAAAATATTCATCAATGAATCTTTGACGGCTTACAGAAAGCGTCTCTTTGGAAAAATCCACGACTATCGTAGACAGCATAACTATAAATTTATATGGACTGCAAACGGGAAAATTCTCCTTCGCCAAACAGAATCGTCGCCAGTTAACAGCTTTACAACAGAAGAAGAGTTTCAGAGGATTATTTCTAAGGACTAAACAATAATTCGTGATTATTTTTAGACACAAACTGTATGTGAAGCGATGGATGAACAAGACTGTGAGTTATCTAATTTACCATTTTATTACTTATCAGATACTGAATTTAATGCTCTCACTGGTAATTGGCATGTTGTCTTTAGCAGTGATTCTGATATATATAATGTCCTACAAAATCCTGACAAATTTGATGAAAATGATTCAGACCTTATGTTAAATACCCCTAATTCAAATTATTACTCTATGACTAAACTTAATCAGCTTTTAAATAAGTCAGGTCATGATAGTATATCATTATTTCACTTTAATGTCAGAAGTCTCCCTAAAAACGTATCTATATTGAATGATTTCCTCTACACTCTTGATAGCAGGCCTGATATCCTAGCTATAACGGAAACTAAATTAAACCATAATAATGTGGTTAATATTAATTTACTTAATTATAACTTCTTTCATACTGACTCACCAACCATGGCTGGTGGTGCCGGTTTATATATCAACAAAGATTTGCAATTAAAGAATAATAAATTAAGCAATTAAAGAATAATAAACATGAAGAGTTTATATTGGGGGACATGAATGTGGATTTCCTTAAATACAGTATACATGCTCATACGGAAGAATATTTAGATATGCTTTACTTAGATAATTTTATTCCTATTATAACAAAACCTACTCGCATCACTGAACACTCCTCTACATTAATCGACCATATTTACACTAATGCATCGACTCAAAACATTGTCTCTGGTATTGCTCTGGTAGACATATCTGATCACCTACCTATACCTTTTCTCTGTATAACACATCAGTTAGTAGAATTAAAAAGACTATTTACCTAAGGGACTACAATCAATTTAATAAAACAAAATATGCAAATGATTTAAATACAGTAAATTGGTCTGAAATATTTAACAACAATCAAAACTTGCATGAAATGACTAATGAATGTATTAACACCATTACTCAAATAATTGAGAGGCATGCACCAACTAAACAAGCCTCGCGTAATAGGATGAAACAATTATCAAAACCTTGGCTTTCAAAAGGTCTCATTAAATCTATTAAAGTAAAACAAAAGCTTTACCGCTCACACTTTTTAAGTAGAGATCCATCGAGAGTTTCTATATATAAGTCCTATTCCAATGTATTGAATAAATTAAAAATAGGTACGCAGTGCGTACATGTTGCATGCCTCAAAAACCTTATGGGTCGTGGGCCATTGTGCGAAAAAGTGCTTAGAAAAGCAATTTTGTGACAATCCCCTGGAAAATAGGTTTTCTGAGGTTCAATGCATAGTACCATATATGCTCAATTACCACAAAACGTTCCCAAGCAAAAAACCTGCCAAAACCCAAGAAAATGGGCGATTATGTTATCCTCTATTAAATTGTATTACAGCAAGAAAATGTGAAATTTTATATTCAATTACATAAAAAATGACTAGCTAGCATCATCAGAAAGCTTACAAAAACCTACATATAAGACATTTAAACAGTTTTTCTATATCTCAAATTGTATTCTAGTTATACGCTATCAAACACGCGTTTTTGATCTAGTATACCCATTTCTTATTGCAACATTTTGGTCCAGTTCTCTTGCGAGCAACATTACAATATTGTCCTGCAATATTGCAATTTTGATAAGCAGATTGCTCTGAGCAATTTTCAACCGACGCGAACAAATTGCAAGTTGAAATTCACAAACGATTTGAAAATAAAGGCTCTGATTGGACTATAAAGGCCTGGTCACACTACACAACGATAACGATACGATAAATTGTAAACACGCGATAATTGGCAAAAAAATTGTGTTAGTGTCAACAATACAACGAAAATGATAAAATTATCGTTGGACGATAACGATAACGATTTTAAAATCGCTCACCTGAGCGAATTTTTTCAGTTGAACGATAACGATAAATTTTTGACCAATCAACGCGCGTATACAAGTTATCGTATCGTTATCGTTGTGTTGTGTGATCTGGGCTTAAGAAAGAGGGAAGCACCAATCCAGTCGCTCAGACTATTTGATTGGCTTCCCTCTTTCTTATAGTCCAATCAGAGGCTTTGTTTACAAATCGTTTGTGAATTTCAACTTGCCACTTGTTCGCGTCGGTTGCAAATTGCTCAGAGGAATATGCCTATCAAAATTGCAATATTATGGGACAATATTGCAATATTGTTCGCAAGAGAACATCCAGTTTGACTGTAATATCAATATATTTATTGAAAAATAGCTATTATGTCAAAATCAGAAAACTTAGATTCTCACACGAATAGGCAATGTTTTTACGAGACTGTTCATCGGTAGTTGCAAAAGACGGTAGTAACAATTAGGCGCCAGTGAAGGTCAATGAAGTATTAATATTAAACAATGTTTAATATTTCCTACAAATTTATACAAATTTAGCTTTATTGTGGCCTTTTGAAGGTATAAAGACCCGTGGAAACGGTGAATTACCATAGTAGATTGAAAATAATTATTAAACTATATGATCTCGACCATGATTGAAATTAGCGAAGTAGAATACAATTTCGTTGTAGTTTCAATAGTGTCAATAAGTCCAATAAGAATTTTGTTTCATAATATATTCCATGTTAATTACAAAAATGTATTGTACTCTGTAGTTTCGTACACAATATAATCAGTGCGAACACAATTCAATTTGAGCATATAAGAAATGAGCATTTTCATAGCGCCGTGGCCTTTCACGATATATACGTCTGGGATAAATACTCAGTGCGAGCACAACGGCTGCAAAATAACAACAAATAACAAAGCAATATAAGGTAAATTAAAAACAGCAAAGCTTTACCTACTTCGATCTATTTTTCTAAGGCGCTAAATTACGTAAATTTCCAGTGAAAATCAGTATTTCTTTCCTCGACAAAAGCCGTCAACGAAAGCGTACATATTGATTCACATTGTCGGACTATGGTCGGGAAACTCGGTATTTGTCGTATTTTACGATCTGTCACGTGATTTACCACCGCCCGTACGCACACCGCGACACGAAATTTAGAGCTATATGAAAGTTGCATGCCCATATATGGGCATGCAACAAAAACTAAAACTAAAAATGAATATTATAATCAGCAGTTCCATCAATGTAAAAACAATCTAAAAAGCACTTGGAAATTGATAGGCACATTGATTAATAGGAAAAATAAAGGTCATACTTGTCCAACTAGAATTGTTAGAAATGAAAAAACATATATTAATCAGTTCAACATTGCTGAGCAATTTAATCAGCATTTTGTAAATGTGGGTCCCAAATTGGCTAATTCAATCCCAAATTCTAATGATGATCCCACCAAATACGTAACTAACTCACCAATTTCAAGTTTTTGCATGTCACCTGTCTCTGAGGAATACGTTTGTCGACTTTTCTCGGAACTAAATGTGAATAAGTCTTCTCCAGATATTCCTAACAAAATGATAAAGCTGGCTAGTAGTGCTCTATCAGTGCCTTTTGCTCATATTTTCAACCAATCCATTTCTACTGGAATTTTTCCCAATGCTTTCAAAATATCTAGAGTAACGCCAGTCTATAAGAGTGGGATAACGACAGACCCAAATAATTATAGGCCATTAGCTTTGCTATCACCCTTTAGTAAAACGCTTGAGCGAATTGTGTATGATCAGCTTATGACTTTTTGAGAGAAATATAACATACTCAACAAGTATCAGTTCGGCTTTAGAAAAGGACACTCAACGGAACAAGCTATTTTAGAAATAACTGAGAACCTGAAAACTTCCATTGATAATAATCTTATTACATGCGGGGTGTTCATTGACTTTTCTAAAGCTTTCGATGCGGTCAACCATGAAATATTATTAGTTAAATTATTTAAATATGGAATACGTGGTCATTCACTTGAATGGTTTAACAGCTACTTAACAAATAGACTTCAACTTGTACAAATAGATAACGTACAATCTAGCACTTTAACGATGACATGTGGAGTTCCTCAAGGATCTACATTGGGGCCTTTATTATTTTTAATTTATATTAATGATATAGTTAATTGTTCATCAGTACTTTCTTTTCGTCTATTTGCTGATGATACTTTATACTTAACATATTTTATGTAAATAAAGACCCCACTGAACTTGAAATAGTAATGAATCGTGAGCTAAAAAAATTCTGCGACTACTGTGCTCTCAATAAATTATCTATTAATATGAACAAGACCAATTTTATGGTGATAACTTCAAGTAACAAAAAGCACATTAATATCAACATTCCTAATATCGAACGTAAAAACTGTATTAAGTATCTTGGTATATATCTCGATGAACATCTCAATTGGAAAAGCCAAATTGCTCATGTTAATAGTAAATTAGCCAAAAATATTGGCATTTTTTATAAATTACGTCATTTATCTAACATTTACATATTAAAGCAACTTTACTATAACCTTATTTACCCTTATTTAACTTATGGTGTTATGAGCTGGGGTAGCGCGTATACAACTAATTTAACCAAGATTCGTACTAAACAAAATAAATGTATACGTAGTATTTTCTTCGCAAATCATATGGAGTCAGCAACTACTTACTATAAACTTCTTGGACTACTCAATTTTGACAATATTGTGAAATTTAAAATTGCTACATTTGCAAAAAAACTGTCAAGTGATTCATTGAATGTATGTATGGACATATTTCATGATTACCTTACACCAATATCTGATATTCACAGCTATAATACTAGACTGTCTGCCAGTGGCAATTTCTATCGGCCAAAAGTAAGAACTAATTATGGTCAATCCACCATCAAATTTATTATCTCGAAGCTGTGGAATTGTATTCCACCTTATTTAAAACATTTAAATATTGAAGCCTTTAAAGTACAGTACAAACAGTCCCTCCTATCCTGCCTGATATAGTCTTAACCTACTTGTCAAATTATGAATTAGAAGCTAAATATTGATATGATTACTTTGCCATAACGATTTTCTACTTTCTATTATATTCCATGTAAAATTATTAACACGCAGTAGCCAACTCGAAAGCTCACGCTACTTTGGCAACTGCGCACATCCAATCTAAGTCTATAATAACATAAATTTGTAATAATTCTTCAGTTTTATAATTTCAACAGATAACTTGTAAATATACTAATATCATGTGCATAATAAATCTTTCTTCTTCTTCTACCGGTGTGATTCAAATGTCATTCCTGTCTGGTACTTGGGTCAAATAGACATAAGCATACCAAATCATGCTATGAATTGAAATACAAGTATAGAGTGTGTATTGTTTAAATAAATATATTTTCCTAGTAAGCTGCATTGTGCCCCAATGCACCCTACTTTAGTAGTTTATTTCACTTCATCTAATGCCAGATGATTTTACTTATCGAGGGAAAAGTGCTGCTGCTCATTGAGCTCTGATGGAGTTCACAAGTGGCAGCACTTTCCCCTTGACGAGTGAAATAGTCTGGTGTTAGACGGAGTAAAATAATCTTGCGTTCAATAACGTAGCTACTTTTTCAAAAGCTCAACCAAGCTAAAGATTCTTTGACTTGAAAACCAAAGTGATAGTGAACTAGTTACCGGTAGTTGAAACAAACAGAATTGTTTGATTTATTTACTTTGCACAACATTGAGAATTAAAATTTAATTTGATACTTTTCCAGTATACATTCTTCATTGACATTATAGAGGTTCAGATTTGACTACCATTACCATTAAGGGACCATCAAATGCATTTGATATATTTGATCATTGTGCTTGTAGAACTCAAATCTTAACCTCTACAATCAAAGTGCGAGTTTATTCATAAACTAACTATACGTAAATCAACTTTCATGCAATCATCTAGTTGTGTACCAGTCAATGTAAATCCCTGCTCCCAACCGGGGAGGGGCGGGAGGTTTAGCGGGGAAAGTGGTCAGTTTTGATTATAAATTTGCCCCAATGATGGGAGACTTGGACGGTGGTTAATATATATATCCTGTCTTGCTGTTTTAGTTTTCTTGACAAGAAAAGTTTAAATACAGCAACATAAATGAATTTGATTTTCTATTGCTGATCTATGATTATACAAAACTATTTCCCCAGGGTTGAGAGACATGCAGGGGACATTGATGTCCCCGGGGGCAGAACAATTTTGCTCTTTTACTACCCCCTCCAAGTCAAAATCCCTGCCCTTCCCCAATTGGGGGGTTTACATTGACTGGTGCATTAATTAAAGAAGTGTCAGTGCCACGTATGTAGTAAAAACCAACTTGTCAGTAAAGGCCACAGAGCAAGATTGTATTTCAAAGATTGCCAGTGACAAAAACAATTGATAGGCTGATAGGCCTGAAATAGAGTATGCCAACAGTTAGTATACTGCAAATAACTATTCTATCAACAAGATAATGTGTGTTTTTACAAATGTTTTAATATATCAATCCAATGGCATGTAACCTAAAATTCAGCAGTGTCTGTGTAATGTAATACACCCCTTACTTCTCAATGGTCAAATTAACTATACTACATTGTGTATAATATATGGACTGGTTCAAAAATATATTGAATTTATAACTTATAAGTGTTGAACTGGTGAACTATTGATGTGGAGATTATGCCAAGTATACAATGGCACAAGGATTTTCATGTCATCAGCATGATTAAATCGTGAGATTGTGCAAATAATCTGTGTAAAATCTCTTAAAGATATCCTCGGTAGCTACATTTTAAGGTAAAATGATTATGGTAAAGCTATTCAAGGAAAAAAAGCAATGGATCAGTCAACCTGGTTGTCAACAGTAAATTTAACTAAATTTATGATCCACTTATTGCCGTATTTTAGCTGAAAATTAATTTAAGACAATGCAATACGATAGACTTACCTTTGAATTTATTATATATTCTTTTAAAATGGTCACCAAAGCTCTAAAACACGATTGGTATAATTTTAACTTCCTCGCTCCTTAATGTTTACATGTAAATTTGTCAAATTACACTTGGTTAGGGCACTGGAAACGAGACGCGGCCAAGATGCTCGAGGCGACATGCGCGGGGACATCAACATCAAAGATTCCGACATCGAGTGAGACTTCTGGTCTTATTATTTATTTTGTGATATTGGCCTTAGGTGTTTAATTACATCTCGGACAGGTTTCTGCTTTGGAGTCGGTGTAATGTCTGCTTTTTTCAATGATTCTGGTAAAATGAGTGTTTTTATAAGAGCTGTTTATGATATCCGCCACAGAAGAAACCAATATGTCAGCGTTCTCTTTTAAGACCCAGGCGGGAATACCGTCTTGGCCAGTTGCTTTCCTTGCATTAAGAGTTGACAACATCTTGAAAGCAGAAAACTCGGTGACGGGCAACAGACTCGGAAAATTATCATCCTCGTTAGCAAGGCGCAAGTGGGGAAGTAGTCAATTAAAGGCTTTCATAGGCGTTACAAAAGATTCGTTAATCATGTTTGCAATTTGCTCAGGAGTGTGATCAGATGGCAATGACTTTTTATCAATATTGTGCAGGATTGACATCGTGTCTTCTTGTGAGGGCACAGGTGAAGATACGCCACTTAAATTTTTGAACTGCTTCCACCAAATTGCAGGTGAACAAGATTTCAGATGTCGACTTTGTTTCAAATCTTGTTCACCTGCAACTTGGTGGAAGGAGATCAAAAAGTTAAGTGGCGTATCTTCACCTGTGCCCTCGCGAGAAGACACGATGTCAAATCCTGCACAACATTGATTGATTATTGAGATCAGTGTAGGGTAGACAAAAGCGCTAAACAAACTCATATAGGTATTTGATATCAATTTTTTTTTCACTGTTTTTATACTAAATCGAATACTTTTCGAGGGTAAGCATCGTTACATCGCAACATTGGCGATCCTCACAAGTTTTTAAGAGCCAGTCTCATTGAAGAGATTTCTCCATTTAATTGCCTAAATTTCAGGCGGGTAGGTGTGTGGGGGGTGGGCTCCAAGGAAGGTGAAATATACTGTGCTGAGTGGTTATATTACTACCTTAGTAATATAACCACTCAGCACAGCATTTTCACATTGGTACTACCTACACTGGTACAGACAGTTTTAGTATAAAGGTGAAATATACTCCACAAGCGGCCCAATTTCTGCAACGACGGAAATATTTTGAATATTGTAAACTAGGAGATGTATATAGACGAAGTAATTAAAAAATATCAGATTTTCTAAATAAAGTACACTTAATCTTCAGAAAAGTGACGGCAGGAGGGGGGAGACCTAACAATTCCTGCCGTGGCCTCGCCACTAAGTAAAATTTCCCAAATATGAATACAATAAATACATACTTGTTGCCACCACACACATCACGCTACGAGTATGGCCAACCAAAGTGGTTTCATATACTAATGTATCAGCTCGCCATAACTTGATAGTATTGTCTTCAGATCCAGTAGCAATGTACAGTCCATCTTTAGTAGTACACAGACTTCTGATTTGTTTATTATGTGCGGGAACGCGACCCAACAGTTCACCTGTGATGACACACCACATCTTCAGTTGTCCTAGTACACATGGAAAAAATTTGTAAGGCTGTCGTTCCAGACTGTTCATCAATTATGTCTAACACACAATATGATTTTTGGCATGTGCAATATTTGGGTCATTCTGAGAAGAAAAGCAATATATCTGCGTTAGCAGGAAAAAACGAAGGCACACTAATTTGCAATTAATCAGGGAAAAAACATGGGTAAGGTAAATTAATCAAATATTACATATGCTAAAACTCATGTGCGATTAATGGCACTTGAGGTAGAAGCTATGTATCATATGTTCCCCACAGTTACAGTGGACAACTTGCAACTATTTTTTTTTAATAACTTGACAATCAATAAGATCGAAGGTCAGGACAATGGAACAGAAGTTCCCAATTAAGTCCTACCAAGACAACACAAATACAGACGTACATAAAAACTATTTACAACAGTAAATATTAATCTCGATTGAAGAATGCTCGAATGGTTAATCTATTGAGAATATTAAAACTCAGTTTGTGACTAATTTATATGAAACAAATGTATCAAGAGTTGTAACGAAAACTGAGCATATTAAGCATATAACAGATTAACCCATCGATCATGCTACGTGCACCTAGGTATTACGAGCAGCAGTTTATTTGCAGTGATCTACAATTACTGCATAGTGTTTCCAAGTTCTACACCTATCTGCATCAAGTACTGTAATCAGTTTATTAAAGTAATATTCATATAGTTTAGCTTTAAGGATGTATACGGAAGAAGATTTAATATCACTAGGCAAGCTGTTCCATAGATACACAATTCTATTGAAGTACGAGTTCCTGAAGAGAGTTGTTCTACATAGATTTGGACACAGAAAGTCAACAGTACTGGAACGGGTCGACCGATGACAAGGTCTTTCGATGTACTTATCAATGTCAAGATCATACAGCCCCGCTTTGCATTTATAATAGAACACAATGTCCTTTATTTCCAGCCAATATGAGATAGGAATCAAGGTTAATTTCTTTAAGCGTTCCGAGTAAGACGACTTGTAGTCTTGCAGAATAACTTTCGTGGCGCGACGTTGAACACTCTCAAGACGTAGCAGATCAGAGGATGGACCCTAGAGCGCCCAGACTTCAGAGCCATGAGAGAACTGCGATCTAAGGGACCGGTCATTATTTATGGCGGGGGGTGGCACCGAAGAGAAAAAGGTTGGGTAAACTAAATTTTGAGTAACTAAAAGGTTGGGTAAATGAAAAACAAAACAACTCAAGGGTTGGGTAATAAAAAGTTATTGTCATTTCCAAAGCATGACTCACTTAAATATTGGAGACTGAAAACTGTCACAATCTTGATAATTTTCCGATTTGTTGGGAGACAAATGGTGTCTCCAAAGAAAGTACATGTACATACAATATGAAAGTTTAGTTATCAAACTTGTGTCACAGAAGTAGTAAAGGACATGTGTGACAACTGAATGGTATTCTGTTGAAAGGTTTTGGCCAGGGGTGGGTATTTATTTTTTAATTGATATTTGAGGTTGGGTAATCAAATTTTTTGCTTTTTAATGGTTGGGTTAGCAACATTTTTACCAGGAAAAACATTTCTCTTCGGTGCCACCCCCCACCATAAATAATGACCGGTCCCTAACAAGAGTTAAATACAGAAGACGTCTGCAGTTAACGTTCGCGAGGTAGAAACAATTTCGCCGAACAAACCCGAGCATCTTGTTAGCTTTCGATATCAAGTTATTTATATGCAATGACCATTTGAAACTTTCGCTCACTAGGATTCCCAAGTCTTTCTGAGTTATTTTACACTCGTTTTCAAAGTAACGCGACCAAGGACGAAAATGCTAGAGTTGATATGTCAGTTTTATGTCATTCGGTCACGAAGTTGAAACTTTGAGTTTTGCGGTTCCTTGTCGATGTATATGCTTTGTATGTTTTATATAAGCAGGCTTACAATGATTTTCAAGATATTTTAGTGAGAATTATTGCAAAATTTAAGCAGGACAAAATCATAACATCACCGTTATAGTCTAGCGCGCGTGTTTTATACTGACAGCTAAATTCGAGGATAAATTCTTATTTTTCAAACTTTAAAAGTCATTCACGGCACATATTTCTGTTGTGATGGCTTGTATTGTGCTTTGGTTTGTATATCTAAGTTATCTAACTCATTCTTGTGCAGTTTTGGTATTAAATACGGTTTAGAATGTCTTTTGACAGTTTGTTTACGTTTGCTATTTTTAGCAGTTCTTGTGACATAAAACTGACCTTTGAAGTAAGAGTATTTTTCAGGGAAGTGGCGTAATTTTGAAAACGGGTGTAAACGGTATAAGTTGTTGATTGAGGTGGTATTCTTGAGGTTGTTCGGAACTTGTCTTGCGAGAAAATCTCATTGCAGCACACTTCGAAGCATTAAAACTGAGATCCCATGTTAGTGACCATTGGTGTAGGGAATCGAGATCAGTTTGTAGGAGATTTTTGTCCTGTGGTTTCTCAATCTTTTTGTAGAATTTACTGTCATCAGCAAACATGGGAACAACGCTGTGATTAGCTGCTTCGGTAAGATCATTTGCATATATCAAGAACAGGAGTGGACCAAATATACTTCCTTGTGGAATTCCCGAGGTGGCATGAAGATAGGAAGATGCGACTGCGTTGACCACTACTCGTTGACGTCTATTGCTCAAGTAATCCGAAAACAAATTCAATAACAAGCCCGAAATACCGTGCATGCGGTTGAAGTTTAAGTAAAAGTCTTGGATGGGAAAGAGAATCGAAGGGTTTCGAGAAATCCAAGTAAATCATATCAGCTTCTTTACCGCTAGCCTGCGTGCAGGCCCAAGGGAACTGATAGTGGACCTGCAACCATCGCCCGGTATTTTGTAAAACGCCCCTTTTCATAACACGCCCCATTCGCGCGTCAATTGTCAAAAAAGAACCAATGACAGCACCCAAATATTAACAAACAAACTCGCATTAAAATGTTGCGGGGTTTTCTCTGCTTATTCAGAACACTAATAAACAATGTGTAAATGGCTGCGTTTTAACTCCAAAAAAGCAAGCAACGCAGTCAGTAATTGCCAAATTTGCAAGTGCTCATTTTCAACTAAAATCGGAACAGGCAAATTAGGACGAATTTCAACAGAAAACCAGTCTCAAACTTCAAATCATGAGGGAAGTCGTGCGACCACATTAGGATTTATATTATGTGTGCTTCGCTGTCGCCATTGGCATTGTTATAAATAAATTGTCTCACTTATCAGATCGTGTGTGCAATTCTTGTTGGCGGCGGAAAGTACGAAATTTATTTCATTTGGTAAAGAACTCTACAAAAGAAGAGAGCGTTCCGGAGTCCAGATCGTTTCGTTTCAAACGGCAATTTAATACCGCCTTCTGTTTCGCTCTCTCAGCGAAGCCTTGTAAATCGCCGAAAGTGTTTCGAATAGGCTTACAGTCCTTACATGCAACTGCATCTCAACATCAACCAAAAGATAATTTTCTTGAGGAAGTGAGAATACATAACGTATCAACTGAAGTCTGTTTGAAATTAATGAAACTCAAGTAAAGGTTACTATAGTTTACCCCAGTCGTAATTTGCTATTCCAACACCTCACGACAAGCAATCCCCATTGGCATAACGGCAAAAACATGTCTTCCTTCAAGTAAACAATAAACAGTCTGTTCTTGTTCCATTTGTAATCGAAAAAAGTGATCAATTTTCAAATTTTCAGCTTATCGAGAGCCTTTGTCTATGCCTTTGTGATGAATCACTGTTCCCTTGGGCCTGCACGCGGGGCTAGGTTAATTAATTGCCGATCGCCTCAGCTAGCCAATGGGAATTTAGCCGGTGGTTCGGCCGGCGAAAATCGAAAACATGGGGTGATGGTTGCAGGCCCACTATCAGTTCCCTTGGGCCTGCACGCAGGTTACTTTACCGCTGTCTAGAGCTTCGCCAATGTCATGAAAAACACCGAGAAGTTGAGTGGAGCAAGATCGTTTTTTGCGGAATCCAAGTTAAAAATCACTCAACGAAGGTTTAACAAACTCGGACACGTGGATATGGATGACTCGCTCGAGAAGCTTGGATAAAATGGAAAGCAAGGTGATGGGTCGATAGTTGGAGACATCACGGACATCTCCCCTCTTAAAAACTGGAACAACGTTTGCTTCCTTCCATTCCCTGCTTCCATTCCTTGTGATAGTGACATATTGAAGACAGCAGTTAATGATGGAGAAATTTCGTCCGCACACTCTTTCAGTAGCCTGACAGATATTCCATCAGGTACTGAGGCTTTGTCGGCGGGGAGGCTTGATAAGAGACAATTCACATCACTGGTTGAAACAGTTATGGATTCAAGAATATTCTGACTGTGATCTGGTGGAGGAGATGAACTGTCGGAATATGGGTCAAGAGGATGAAAAATTGAGGCGAAGAATCTATCAAAGGCATCAGCTTTACCTTCTGAGGATCTAAATTGCTTATCGTTATAGACTAAGGTGTCTGGAAGGAAAGACCTTGTCGTCTTTGAGCAAAAGAATTTCCAAAATTTTTTGAGTTTGTCTTTAACTAGGCTCGTCAGGTTAGAAATGTATTCCCGTTTCTTAGTTTTGATCACACTTTTGATGTAGCGCCGCATTTCTCGAAATCGTTCCCAAAGGTGAGGCGAATTAGATGCCTTGGCCCTTTTTCTGAACGTTTTTTTCTTATTCAAAAAGTGAATAATTTCCTGGGTAATGTAGGGAGGCTCATAGGAAGACTCAATGACAATCTTCGGGATGAAGTAATCAACAGCGGAAAAGAAAGCATCTTCCCATTTTGAACAAGCGCTATTGACATCAAGCACATTTTCTACAAAGTCTAACTTAATTTGGATAACTTAGTCAGTCATAGTAACCCCTTTTGTTGCAACGTGAACGATAATTCTTAAGGTGGAAGATTTTAGTTGTGCTTGTCTACAGAATACGAGGGAGTGTGTGCTGGTGGTGCTGTATAAAATGCACAAAACAAGAACGACATGTCTGACATTTTCAGGGATTAATTGTGTTCGGTCTGGTCTGAAAACAGTCTAGGACCTGTATATGAGTTTGTATACATTTCATTTAGGAAATGTTTTAGGGCAACTTGACCATGACCAAGTCGACCATTTATTGTCGATAAAACGAACACGTTCGTGAAAGAGACTAACAGACAGCAATCCAATGAAGACACCACAGCCACTCTATCTCTAGAGCTTCATGAACAAAGTTCGTAAAATTTTTTTTTCATCCTTAAATGTGAAACCTTTAAGCTCTTTTGAATGCAGAACTCAAGAAACACCTCTCAAATGCATCCGGCGTGTTTGTTCACAATCAAGCTGTCAATCAATGATGATTTTAGCATAAATTAGCATACTTTCATTTTGAAACAACCAGATTTGATGGGGTTTCGTGCAGGCTCTCGTTTCTTCTGAGAGCCGCTACGCAGGCTATTTCGGTCACAAAATATTAACTATTTTACACCAAATCAGTGATAATATATTTAAATCACTACCATTTATGATTCTATCAAAAAGATTTAGGAAAAAAGGTAATGTAGGTCCACTGCCGTTTCAGTTGTAAGCCACAAATTCACATTTGACTATGAGTATTGCATGGTCATTTTCTTGTGAAATATCAGTGCCAGGCATTTCACACTTACCAATGACCACCCCTAAAAGCACCATCTTTGAACCATATAAGCACCTCAGAACAGCCAAAGCTTTTATGGTTTGGTAGATAGCACTATGGCGAAAGCGTCGTTTTGGGGTGCTCCGGGCAGTGTTACCATGTTGACAGTCATGTTCAATTTGTCCTAAAACATTTTAGATTATCTGTCCTAAATGAAATGCATACAAACTCATATACAGGTCCTCGACTAAAAGCGTGTTTGTAACGCTGCGAGCCCAGGTACAAAACACTTAAACTCAGGTCAAAAGGAGAAACACTTACTCAGGTCAAATGAGTTGGAACTCTAATCAACGCTAACCAGGGCACGAGAGCTGATAAAATTTTCATGCAAACCCTGGCTTGCCAACTCTTATCAACTCTCATCCTCGTTTGACACGTGTTTCAGATGCTTACCTTTAAAGCATCCAGTATATAGACGTCGATCATCTACACTGAAATCCACAACATCACCTGCTGGCAGCACTAAACGCTGTTCATAAGTATTCATTTCCCAGAGTATTGTTGGGCCAATCAACGATGACGACGCAAGCATTGCTTTACTGTGTGACAGAGCCAAACTCATCGCCGCTACATCTTGACATTCATCGTGCACTAGTACTTTCAATTCTTTGCCTGTTTAAATGGATAGATAGACTACAAATATTCAAAAAGGATAAACAGATATTTTTCACACGAGGTCACAAAATTCCAATATTTGATAGTTTCGTATATCGTTATTGCGAGGGTTCACCAAAACTTTTCAGGCGATTCAACTATTTCTCCTTAACATAAAAGTTTTGAAAAATATTATTGCTGACACATAAGCATTGTTTTCAAGAGTTGTTAAAACTAGCTATACACACAATTTAGTCTTTAAATGCTCGGTTAAGGTTAATAATTTATGTCTAATCTAACCTTATAAAGAATCTAAACATTTTGGCTAATTATCTCTTATTAGTATTTGACTTTTCGCCGCGACGTTGGTGATCATGGTAAATGGCAGCCAAAAAGCAGGTGCTCAAATGAGTGCTGAATTTTATAATAAACGCAAATGTTTAGCAGTTAGCGATCTACAAGACATGTGAAACAGAATAAGTTTGTCAACAAGCCGTCAACAAGTTGTCTTCGCGCTGCTTGTCACAAGTTGTCAACAGTTTTGGAACAACTTGTTGACAACTTGTAACGACCTTACCGAAATTATCAGACTTGCTACAAGATTGTTGTAACAAGTCCGTTACAAGCTAGATATAACAAATTGTTACAACCTTGTGTTGACAACCTTGTAACATCTTTGTTATATCATGACTGTATCAAACTTGTTAGAACCACCTTGTAACAAGTCTGATAATGCAATCAAGCTTGTTACAAGTTGTTAACACCTTGTTACAAACTTGTTACAACAACTGAGAACAAGCAGTGCGAAGACAACTTGTTGACAGCTTGTGAACAGACTTGTAACAACTTGTTTGCAGATTTGTAACAATGCTGCTCCAACAACTTGTCAACAGGATGTGTTCGCACTGCTTGTCCCAGCTTGTTAAGACAGACTTATAACGGCTTGTTGACGGACTTGTAGCAAGGTTGTTGTGACTGGTTGATTATGACAATGACAAAAGACGTAATTGGCTTACATAAACAGAAGGAATATTGTTCTTGCTTCGTTCTTTAGAAAATCCATTCTATAGTTTATTCTTTTGTCATTGTCATAATCAACCAGTCACAGAACATCTTCCCAGAGCATCATGTTTACTACAAGCTTGTAGAAATCAATCCGTAACAAGCTTTAATCAACAAGCTTGTTACAAACATTATCCCATACCTGTGTTAAAAGCGGCTTTCTGATTGGTTTAGAGCAGGTGAGCTTGTCGTCGAGCTCACCTGCTTTTCGCCGAACTCACCTGCTTTTCGCCGAACTCACCCGCGAAACCGCTCACGTTGCAATAATAATAACAAATATGGCGGACAAGATTTAGCCGATAAACCTAAACTTTAAAGAACTTTTTTCGGTAACTAACATACTGAGACTGAAGAAAAACCAAAGAAAAAATCCAATAAAGGTAATGTAGACATGCGATAAAGAAGTATTTTCTTGCCCAGTGATTTTTTTGCCCGGGAAAATGTTCACAAAACATCGACGAATATATCGCCAAGAGCTACAAATGTGTGTATGGCTCGGTGTATGGGATAAAAACCAAACGCTTCTTGTGTGAAATCCACATTATTCCGAAAAAAAAATAAATTAACAAATAAATACAAACTACAGAGTTAAAATGCAGAGGTAAGCATGCATCAGAATGTATTTCCAGGTATAATCTTAATATATACTTATTGATACGGTTGACAGACAAATAATTCAATTATTGTCCTTGCCATGTTTTGTGCAGGCACTTAAATTTTGAGTAACGTACAATAGCAGTCAATACGTACAATAGATTATTTTCTCCTTACACAAATACAGGGCTTTCTTGGGCGCTTAAGCAAAGGAGTGTACTGTAGTACAATGTCAGTATGTCACCATTCTTTAAAATTTTACAGTATATATAGGTTTAAAGGTTTTCATATTTATCATAGGTTTTCATTATCATGAGCTGCCGTTGCTATACTGTTTGAACAACTGTGCCTAAAAAGATTCAAAATACTAAGCGTCTGTAGTTTTGAGCTTTATCGGGAAGTCAGTACGAAACCAAGAAAGCACTTGTGACAAAAGTTAATGCAACCTCTCTAAATTATGGTTTAGGTAATCCCAGATGCAAATAATCTGTTGAAGGAAGGCAGTCCATTGCAGAGATATTATGCACCAGTCAATTTTTCGTTTAACACTAAAGGCATTTTCTAGTTAGAGAGATAATAACTCACTCAAGTGCCAGTGGACAGGAGTGGGCAGGGCTTATACTGGTTAAACAGATTCGTAGATAACAGTGTAGTTCAACCTAGTTGGTGTAGCTCAACCAAAATTGCTGGTTTTCTAGAATTTGTTGCAACTTGCAAACTTCTATAAGATAATTATGCAACTAGAATCCGAAGTCAACTTCCTTCAGAACATTTTTTTAACCAGCAGTTAAAATGATTCGTAAATAACAGTTTTGTGTGTCTATTTCTGTACCAAATTCAGGCCTTCTGTTATGGTTAACCCCCTTCACGAATGAAACTGTCTAGCTTGAGACAAAGTAAAATTATTACAGTCGGTTATTTGGGTGCATTGTAACTTAATGGTTAAACAATTTTCAAACACTCATTAATAATTCATAAGCTTATTGGCAAATCATGTCAACTATAATATGTCACGTGCAGTGGCTTTCAAACTGATAAAACATTCCTAATTAGTATTCTTTATATAAAGAATATTTTTCGAATCCGTACAGAGGTTAGTTTTAAAATACCTTGAGGCTACTTTTATAATTATATGAATTAAAATAACATTACATTATATTGAGTCATTGTTTATAATTTGGATTAAAAATATTCGATTGTCACTTGTCTTCCTACTTTAAAACATATAAAACTTCTCGAAAAGTCGCCGGGGAATACTCGTGACAAAATTGACATTTAAAACTGTTCCTTAATTCATATAATTATAAAAGTAGCTTCAAGGTATTTTAAAACTACCTCATCACACTTTTGTTCACAATGTAGCTGCTTCATTTCTTCAAATTTCCTGAGAATATTCGTCCAGTAACAGTAATTCTTGTATATTTTGAGTTGATTTTGTATGAAAGTAGCAATACGAGCTCGTGTTGATAAACAAAGTCTGAGGCTCTCCACTCCTTCAGAGTTGTAAATCCCGTTTCGCGGCGTTATAAAGCCATAATACTCCAATTTTTTGCTCAAAATTCTTCTTGTATGCTTCTATCTTTGTGATTGTAAAACTGGCCCGGTCGGAAACGTAGCCAAGGCAAAAAACGCGAAAAACTACCATCTGTAATACAAATCTATACAAAAGTGGGGCCCCAGAATCGGGTGGCGGCCGGTGACTTCCGGCTTCACTTTTGTATACTATAGATGCGTTATCCAGTCTTATTTCAGATCAGTGACTATGACAAGTAAAAAGTCACAAACATTTTTCCCTATTTACGTCTACCAAAAGAGGGGGGTCAAAATTTTACAATTTCAACAATCCCTGCTTTTGGGGGCCACCCGTTGCAAATTTTCTGACCCTCTATAACTGAAGCTTGGGCCAATTTGCCCAATGTACTTGCAAAAACTTTATGGCCATTTTTGCAGTATAATCCATGTCAAAGGCAGGACAATACGCTGACTATAAACAAATTGGATAACTTTGTCTTTACTTTCTTGTGAGTCCTGATTTGACTCTTCATTGTCTGACAAAATATTAGCTAAGACTTCTAACTCGGCTGCTAAGACGTCGTTATCAACACCATCCTGCATCATTTCTGCTACAGCCTTTATATCTGTAGAGTCGGCGATGCTTCTTGCAATGGACTCTGTAATGTACGGGATAAAGGTGCAATTATGTCAAGTGTTGGCTGCATCTTCTCTCTCAGTTGCGTTGCCAGAACGTCAAAGGCACACTTGAATTCTTTCTTAAAATACTGATACAGGTCAGGAACAGCTGTAGTTTCTGGATTATCGTCCAGTCGCCGTGGTTGTCGACGCGTTCTGTCATATCTTTCAAATTCCGTTTCGGCATCGATATCAAGCTTCTTCGAGTATTCCATCGAAGCTGTAATCTGCGAGGTCATTTCCGTCTTCTCATCGCTGTTAATTATTTGTAGAAACTTTATCGTAGCTTTGGTCATTTCAAGAGCTTGAATGATATTCAACTTTTCTCACTGAAGTGTATCACTGAGAAACTTCGTTTTCAACATGATATGTTTTTCATGAACACGAGACTCGCTATAAAGTCAAAGCTCTTGACATTCTTCACGAGGGCGGACACAGACGCTTCTACTTTTGTTTTCACTGTAGATTCATTCACATGTTGTAAGGCATGGATAACAGGTTCTAGAGATGCTCACACTGCTTTGATTGACTCTGATTGTGCAGTCCATCTTGTTTTAGAAAGGTTTATCATTTAAAACTGTTTTCGATGGGCTGAAAAATGATTGGCTAACACGGCGTGACGTTTTGTACAACCAGAAAAGAAAACGTAGAGTTGTTGCAGGATGTTAAAAAGTTCTTGTATCACCAGGCTACTTTCACAAGCGTGCTGCACTACAGTGTTGGTTCTGTATGCTTGACAGGGGATGTGTGAAACCTCTCTCTGTAGTTTTCTTTCCATCTCAGCTTGTGCCCATGGTACTGGCCAGACATATTTGAGGCAAAATCGTAAGACTAAAACGCCAAATTAGAAGTTGACAAGATATTTTTTTCCAGTGACACAATAATGTCATTCGCTTGTTAAATCCCAGTCTTGTCAGTGGTTTCTTTAATGTCGAGCAGAGGGTCTTTAACAGCGTAGGTTCTTTAACAACCACTCTTTTTTACATATCTCACCGCCACAGCAAATCGATATTGGATGTTTCCGGAGTTGTTATCAGCCATTAAGCCGGTTTTCCATTAGGCGCAATTTTCTACGCGGAGGGGAATTTTTCTTTGTCTTGTGATTCCTCAGGTGCAACTAATTGGAAAAGACAAAGAAAGGTTCCGCTCCGCGCGCAAAATTCCGCATAAGGAAAAAACAGCTTAACAAAAAACATCTTCGCGTCTCCGACTTCTTGTCGAACTTTCGATCGAACCCAGTTAACCAAAATCTCAATCATTTCATTTCACGATTCTGAGCTCATGAGGTAACGTAATACGGTCGCAAACGAACATCACTCAGCCATTTCTGAGACGTGGGCAATGCATTGATACAAGTTGAACTATCTGGTAGAATTTTTTTGTGTGTCCCAAAGGTCGCAGGTTGGATTCCCACCGTGGTCAGGCTAACTTTTCAGACTGCCCGGTGTGGGTATACACTCAGAGAAACATTATCTGGTAGCAGTTCCCATCATTTTCACCATGTTGATGAGTGGACAATCCTCGAAAAGCTAAATCTTGGCGAGAAACAGTTCTTGCAACGTCTAACAGAATATACGCATTGACACGTCTAGCAGAATATATGGCATTTTTGTGTCTGTTGGTGTTATATATGCACTATAAGGTGAATATGATGTTCGTGGTGTTACTCTGAGTATGCATCTACACCGGGCAAGCTGAAAAGTTGCCTGACCACGGTGGGAATCGAACCCGCGACCATTGGAATACTGGTCCAATGCTCTACCAACTGAGCTACGAGGTCAAAGTCGGTATATACAGTATTTCGGAACTGAGTCTAGTTCCTTCGATATCAACGCATTCTAAGATACGATATTTCTGTGTGTGTAGGTGATGCATGATGCATTGTCTGCCATTTCTCTGCTGCAGGTCCGGATGGAAACAGAGACCACACAAAACAAAAAGCAGGGACGAGTGAAATGCTGTATTGAAGATAAGAGTAAATAGTATCTAGTATACCCCTGTGAAGAAAAACGGCATTGCTTTTTGCCTAAAAGATCCTTGTTCTGCTGGAAAACTGTTAGATTGGGCATCACAATTCTGCAAACATGGTCTTCAGACGGCGTTCGAACTGGCAAAAGATGAGCACCAAACTTGCCAAACACTTCAGTTGGAAGGCTCACAAGCGGCTCTAGCAGATTTTTATGCTTTTGGTCAAGACCCTTCAAACGTGGATATGTCAGGCATCTTTTCAGGTTACCCGGTGTGGATGCATACTCACAGTAACATCACAAATATACCTTCCACGTATTCAAATAACTGTTGCAAACACGTGCTGTTAACATTCTAATAGGGCCGTAATCAACAGTGCTGTCTCTTTTCTTAGGCGCTAAATTAATATTGCCGCTTTGACCCTGTACGCCTGGGTACAAGGCAATTTACTTTTGCCGAGTCAAGCAGACATTTGCCGAGTCCGTGCTGAATAGGAGCGTTACACCCCCCCACCCCCAACACCCCCACTAGCTACGCCCCTGCATTCATAATAAGCCTTTTAAATCTGCTAAATTTCATTCCAAATAGGATGTTGAAAAAATCGCAGCTCCTCTAAATGAAATTATACATACAGTCAGTATAATCATTCACAAATCGGGCTTTTGCAATGCTTGTATGGGGCATCAGCCTCGTGAGATGTTTTTGTGCTGTTGTACGGGAAAATTTCGCAGCACATTTTGCATGGGCTATGGTCCAGAGTCCCACCTGGGAACTACATGTTGGTATTCATAGACAAGGGAACACTTCATAATGCAGACTCAACATTCGTTTTAGGCACTGGTAAAGCTAGCCATCGTCATCATGGTCATGCTACACAAGTTTATAACTATTTAACATCTCCAACATATAGTACGACTAGCTGCTATTGCTATACTATTTCGCTAATATTTTTAGGGAAAACCCAAAAATTACTTACCAAGACTATCACAATAAATTATTGACTTTAACAAAGTACATTTGGGCAATAATAAAATATGATTAGTAAATACTAGTGTATTTTGCTACAAAGATTAGAAATTATGGATTTTGTTTGCTGGAAACTTATGTTTCCCCTTTTTTATTTAAAAGTAGGATAATTGCTACAAATTGATAAAATAACAAGCTTGTTAAAACTTGTCAATAAAGCTTGCTACAAGCTAACACCGTCAAAAACGTGTCAACAAGATGCGAGATTTTCACATGTGTAGTTCATATTTTACAATTTGTCAAGTGATCAGTGAAAGCAATGTATACTACAGTAAAGAATATTAACTGGATGATTGGCAGTAAATCTTGATAAATACCTTATCCTCAACATTTAGTAATAGGTTTGATTAACTCAAAGGTAAGGGGCAACGCACTTGGGGCAACGGGAAACGCCCTACAAGGGGCAACGCCCTACAAAACGTAAGGGGCAACGCCCTACAAAAATTATACAAACTACTCCTTTGTGCAGTTTTAAAATTCCTTCAAAACTAGACGTTTTAGTCGGGAATCTTCCCCGGAAAGGCACTCGATTGCCTCGAGCGTGCGCGCCAAACACACGAATAAATATCGACATATAAAACGCCTTTTTGTCACGATCAAAGAATGATTTTATGAACATGCATGCATGTTAGATCATTTAATGGATTGATTGCTTATGGTCTGGACAATAAACCTTACTCTTACTTAATACGTGCTTGTGTTTCTCTACGACGGGAAGCAGGGCCGTCGCTATCGGGGGGGTTGTTGTTGTACGCAACCCCCCGCCCCCTCCGCCCGCCAACAATTTTTAGAAAACAAATATTAATTAGCTGCTGAAAAGTTGTCGGCAAATGCGATACTACGCCCCCTCTCCCCCTGCTTTAGCCCCTTCGCGGCGGCCTCGACGGGAAATACAAAAACAAGTCGATGTACTTGAAAACTCATGTACCTAGAGTTCTAGTTGGTTTTCTCTAGTGTCTCTATACATGTTTTTCCCTTATTCCTCCGGATCCTCCGGTTTCCCCCAAAATTGCCAGTGACAGACGCCTTAGCAAGTCAGTTACGTTTGAGCTGCGACATTCACTATTCAGGACTCAGCTGCAAGGAAAGATGACTAAAACTCCCTAACTTCGTCGTTTGTTTTATCTTTACCATACCACTACATACCTGTTTCTAGTTCATGGATCTTGATCAAACCGTTGGCCAAACCAGAAATGACAATAGTACCAGTTGAACTATTGGATGTTACTAATGATAATAGGGGAGAATCAACGTTCTTGGTAAATACCTCTGGTCCTTCAAGTTCGAGCCAGGAAGATAATGGTAAAAGATGGCAAGACTTCATGCACGTATCGCGGATGTCCTTTACCAGCTTGTTCACGCACGGGTATTTGTCAACATACGATAGCAAGCTACCTAGAATACAAATATAAAACTGCTTTGACATGCGTAATAAAATGTTATTATTTAAATATTACTGTCATACTGTTGAACATTTACGCTTTTAAAAAAAAGAAGCGGAAATAGGGGTACTTATATCGCACACTGGTTAGTGTCTTAGCTTCAACTCCTGCAGTGTGAAGTCCTCTAATTATAAATGCTCCCTGATCGAATAAGCAAATAGTTCTCAAGTTCTCTTTGGAAACTTTGATTCCACTTTGAAAATATTTTAAAACAGGTCGTATAACAGTCATGATATTAAGGAAAAATACGAGCGAAATATTGATAATTGTAGGGGGACAAAACAACTAACAAGACTTAAAAGTCCGGAGCTTAAGATATTTTCAAACTGTAAACAATATGGTTTCCGGAAAGAAAGTTGTTTTTAGACTGGAAATGAATTATTTACTTGTTGAAAAACAAAAAGTATCTTACCGCTGTAAACACCATCTAGAGTGTTTGAATTTTTTCACAAAAATTACGTTGTTATGGCAACAGTGACGTTACTACTACTGCAGTTGCTATGGCAACAGTGGCGTTTCAAAATGGCGGATATTGTGGCCAATCTCCTACGCACGGCTTTTTGCTTCCGCGGCTGGATGGTCAAGAAAAAGGCCCTGGCTTCGGCTGGTCTGTTTTGCAACCTGATTGGTCAATAATTTTGAATGTAAGTATTCAATATATGTGGGAATAATTATTATTTTGGTGGAACGAGAGTGCAGTGACAAATTTATAAGTTCTTGAAGGACTAAAGTATTGATTAAATTAGATTTTTGACATTTCGTTTGAGATACATGCAGCATGAATTAAGGAAAGACAATACATTACAAAACTGTTTGGTCCAAATTAAGTCTTTGTACATTTTGTATGGACGAGTATTTGCTTCAGTTCAACCATACATTTCTCACATGCGTCGTGCATACCTGTACATCGTTGACTTCAAAAAACGTACACCGTTATAGTCAAATAAAGATTGTGATACCAATACATTTGCTCATAACACAATTTATATAAACCAAACGCTGAAGCGGTTTCGATGCTCATTAAAAATTTAATCACAGGCTGAGCAGGCTCTGAATATGTTTAAAAGTCATCAACATTACGGGCTATCTCGCTGAATGAAGTGTAAAAAACGAAAACCGAATAAAGTCAACTTGTTTTGTTGCTTTCCTTTGGTTATATACGCAGCATTGAGTGTGTTGGCTGACCGGAAGCAAAATGCCATGGTACGAGGTTGTGGTTTTAAAGTAATTTACCTCGTAAACGACATCGGTGACCCCCTAATTTTATTCCATAGAAAACGATTCTTTTGATACTCAATTATTTTGACAATTCTTAAAAAAGTCTGTTGAGCCAAAATTTTTCAAACTACGTAAATGTGTTTATCGATAAATGTTTTTGGCCGAACACGATCCGGGAAAGAATTTTCTACAAAATTCCCCAGAAACCTTTGCAAAAACCCCGTTTTCCGCCATCTTTTTCCCCAGCAGCGGTCCGTTACGTATTGACTAATGGTCACTGGTTGAGTAGCCAATCAGAATACTGGGTTTGTAATAGACCTTGGTCGAATGTATACTAGTAAGAGATAGCCATAATGACTGTATGTACCTCTAGGAAGAACAGTTTAGAACTGATAAAACTTTCAAGGAAAAAGAAAAGAAAACATAGGCTGGTAAGCGAAGTTCATGTACGGTAAGGCACGGTAAGATGCGGTAAAGGCCATTTTCCACTTCAAATGGATCGTAGCGTAGCATTCCCATTTTATTTCCAAATCATTATTTCCACTTCAGTTTTTATAGGAAACAAACAAATACCGTACTGTCGGTACGATACAATCGAAATGGAAAACGCCCTTAAGGTAAGGTAAGGAAAGGTAAGGTAAAGTAAGGTAAGGAAAATTAAGGTAAGGTAAGGAAAATTAAGGTAAGGTAAGGTAAGGTAAGGAAAGGTAAGGTAAAGTAAGGTAAGGAAAATTAAGGTAAGGTAAGGAAAATTAAGGTAAGGTAAGGTAAGGGCGTAAGGCAGGGTAAGATAAGGTATGGTATGGTATGGTATGGTACGGTATGGTATGTTATGGTATGGTATTAGGCAAGACAAGGTAAGGTAAGGAAAAGCAAGGTAAGGGAAGGGAAGGGAAGGGAAGCTTCATTATTTTTTATATTTGCTGTGTTGGTGTAATGTACTCAGGTGAATAAGATGCTGTGTGATATTACTCTGAGTGTATATCCACACCGGGCAGGTTTGAAAAATATGTCTGGCCACGGTGGGATTCGAACCTACGACCTTTGGAATACTAGCCCAACGCTCTGCCAACTGAGCTAAGCGGTCAGGTCGGTTCGAGTATGCGATATTTCGGAACTGAGTCTATTAGATTACACTGATATCGAAGGAACTAGACTCAGTTCCGAAATATCGCATACTCGAACCGACCTGACCGCGTAGCTCAGTTGGCAGAGCGTTGTGCTAGTATTCCAAAGGTGGTAGGTTCGCATCTCACCGTGGCCAGGCATATTTTTCAAGCCTGCCCGGTGTGGATATACACTCAGAGTAACATCACACAGTACATTATTTTTATTGAAACTGTCTGTACCAGTGTGAGTAGTGCCAATGTGAAAATGTTGTGCTGAGTGGTTATATTACTACCTTAAAAAAAACAAGCAGAAACTCGACGTTTCGAGCGAAGGCCCTTCGTCAAGAGTTAGTAGCAGGAATTGTCGAGTTTCTGCTTGTGTTTTTTAAGGTGCTAATATAACCACTCAGCACAGCATTTTCACATTGGTACTACCTACACTGGTACAGACAGTTTTAGAATATATTATTTTTATTACCTAGCAGTTGCTGACCAATAGAATCTGGGTTTTTCTCGATGACGGAGTGGGATAACATTAACGACTTTTTGAGAAGTTTGATTTCTTGAGGCTGCGTGTGCAGGAAACGAAGATCCGCTATTAGGGAGGGCAAATCGGTCTGTTTCGTTTTTTGTTCAAGCCATTGAAAGTCAAAGAACAGTTGAAGTAGTTCATCATGCTGTTCTGATGAGAAAATGTGATAGGGTAAGTACTTGAAGTAATAATCTTTTTGATAGGTGCTCGAAGTAATATTCCATTCACCGTTTACGCATTGGCCACGAAGCGTCTTCACGAAAGAGCACTGTACATCAGTTAGTGTGCGTGAGGCTCGAAGTTTTGCCCGAGCAAAATCCAACAGTAGATCATGGACACGGTAGCTTGTCTTCCCTTGGAGTTCACGTCCTGAAAAAAGTTGGTAAAAAGGAAGCCTTCATGTACCTGTATAGTGACCCGATTTGTACTAGAGACAGATTATCAGTTTGGGACCGGTTGTTACTTGTACGAAGGCCGGATAACGGTATCCAACGGATAATGATTGTTTCAAACCTTCTAAATTTGTCTGTCGAATAGTATAACCAAGATTAGAGTTTAGTAATTATAAATTAACAAGTTTTTATAATTACTGTGTGGTCGATATCTGTATCCACGAAGGTTCAAGAATCACTATCCGGTGGATAGCGCTATCTTGCCTTCGTACAACAAACCTCTGGATAAACTTGGGCAGCAAGAGATAGTTCGTCTCATAATTTATCTGCGTATAAACGCGTAAAACAAACGGATCATCAGTGAAGACGAACTACCTACGTATTCATTCCATTCAGATGGGCTTGATGTTCGCCTTCATGAATGATCCGTCGTTGTGCTTAAACATTCTACTAAATATGAAATTACAATCGCTTTCAAAGATGCGGGAAAAAGCCAGGTAATATACATTGCGGGGCTATTTCGTTCTGTTTAAAATACCACAGACAGCATGAATAAGCGCTGCTCTTCACTGACATATTTCTCATCAAAGAATGTAATTTATTCCAAATATTTCAGATAATCAGATTACGCTATTTTCCATTTATTACGTTTGCTAATTAGAATTTGCTAACTGAAATGGATCATAAATCATAATGGACATCTGTTACGTTTATTACGTTCGATAATCGGAACAGACATCCCGACACCTAATTAATTGACGGAAAATCGATATTGCGACAATATACAGATCAATATACTAGGCCAACACAATGACTGTATTTTGGTCCCAATGAAAACCAAGCCGGATATAAACTTGCATGTGGTTTAATTGATAAATGTTACAATAAATGACTGAAAAATGAAAAAATGTTACAATAAATTACTCAAATCAATTTAAACCAATGAAAAATAATCCCAGCTCAACGCTACAACCTACAAGAGTAGCCAAGAAATTTTATTATTAAAATAATTATTACGCTTTCCGTAAAATATTGATTTGATAATTTACGTGATACAGGGTACGGGAAACACGAATCAGGAAACTCAGTGGACTGCCACTATTTAAGAAATCAAGTCGCGTGCGTTTATGGTGTTATAAAGCACGAAGGGATCAATGTTAGGAGAATGCGCTTTTCAAGTTTTTTTCCAACATCTCGAGTGCATTTAACGCGAGTTTTTGTGGAGATCCTAACTAGCCGGGACGGAATATATGTATATATATATATATATATATGAAGTACCCCCCCCCCCCCAAAATCTCTTCTTCCCCTATATACCTTTTTGAATCAGGCTTCGGTGGCCAAGTGGTTAGCGCACTTGCCTTTCACCTCTAAGGTCGCAGGTTCAAATCTCAATGAGAATTTCTCAATGTGACTCGAACCCAGTCCATATGTGAAAAGAGTAAAAGTCAACGCTCTGCCGAAGGTCGTGGGTTTTCTCCGGGTACTCCGGTTTCCTCCCACAGGGAAAGTTGACAGGGTGGGTTAGGCACATAGGTTAGGGGGAAGATCGTTAATGAGGTACAGTATGGACTAACAGCGGCTGCTTAAAGCGCCATTTGCAAGCTCAAAGTCTACCTCGGTCTGCTTCACGGCAGTTCCAGCTGTAATTGTAATGCGCACTTCATCATATACATATATGATCAAGTACGCAGTATGATCGCGCAATAGAAATATTAATTATAATATAGCATTTGTAAATTCTGAACGCTGATTGGCTAAGAGCCGTGTTGATATAACTCGATGTCAACAAGGGAAATTTTCCGCCGCTTGTAAATACGGAAATTTTTCTTATCCTTTGGGCTTTTGACATTGCTATACTATAAAAAAATATAAAACATTTGGCTACTAACTCTTGACGAAGGGCCTTCGCTCGAAACGTCGAGTTTCTACTTATTTTTTAAGGTAGTAATATAACCACTCAGCACAGCATTTTTCCGTATTGACATATAGTTATATCAACACTCGTGGAAGTTGGGACAACTCGAAATTGCATGAAAACACTCTATGCTTTTCCAAACGTGACAAAAATATCAAGTCGTTAGTGTTATATGTCAAATCATTCGTGTTATATATCAAGTCATTAGTGTTATATATCAAGTCGTTAGTGTTATATATCAAGTCGTTCATGCTTTACATCAAGTCTTCGTGTTTTATATCAAGTCGTTCATGTTTTATATCAAGTCTTTGTGTTCTATATCAAGTTCTTCGTGTCATATGTCAAGTCGTTTGTGTTTGTATCAAGTCGTTCGTGTTTTATATCAAGTCGTTTCGTGCGTGCATGTCAAGATGTCAGCTAGTTTACATCAAGTTTTACTGATATTTTCTGTGTTGGTGCAATGTACTCAGGTGAATAAGATGAAAAATATGCCTGACCACGGTGGGAATCGAAGCATTCCAAAGGTCGTAGGTTCGATCCCCACCGTGGTCAGGCATATTTTTTTCAAGCTTGCCCGGTGTGGATATACACTCAGAGTAACATCACAAGCATCAAGTTTTACGTTCGTGTTATACATCAAGAAAGGAGAAGATAGTTTTTGATCGGCACTATTTTCACTCGAGGTCAGCGCTATTTCGGATCTGTCAGAGTACCTAGTTTCTTGATCAGCATGAAAACATATTCAAAATGACTGCGCGAAATCGGTTATATATTCCCAACCTTGAAGAATTCTTTAACGATTCTTTTCAGCTAATCCAGCAATGTAGTAACTGTATACAAGAAAATAGTAACGGTAGATTGGCAGAATTTCTTGGTAGGCGCCTAGAGGAATATCAACGTTCACTGCGCGTGATGTACGGCAGACTCCGGGATTTTCGCAACAACCCATCTGATCTTCTGAATGACTTCGAACAAATACTGGACGTTGTTAGTCGTATATTAAAGGGAACTTGGAATTACTTTATAGCGATGATTTTGGCGACGAGTTCCCAGAGAATAATGCACTTTGTACGACAGTAAATCATGGCCTTGTTGGACGACCTCGCTATGAACTCACTCAAGATCAGATACAAATTTTAAGAGGCGAGTTGGGATTTAGATGGGTAGACATTGCTACAATATTGGGAATATCGTCCAGAACTCTGAACCGTCGTCGTCACGCATTTGGTATGTAAGTCGGACAAGATTACAACTTCTCAAGTATAAGTACTGAAGAACTCGACAGGGTTGTTAGTGAAATATTAATAATAGAGAGGTTAAGATACCCCGGTTCCGGTTTACGGGTACGGGTGATATACACGTATCCGTACCCGTAAATTGGGGAACGACTTGTAACTTAAGCAATCCAAGATATTCCAGCGTGTGAAAACCGATCAGAGAATGGTAACTTTCGCTATTGAGGTTCCCCATAAATTGTTGAAAACTTTGACGAGCATATGCGCATTATTTATTTAGGTAAGATGTTGAAAATTTTTACTATTTAAACGGCCCACATATAGTAAACAAACAACACCCGTACCTGTTTGTCTTTTACGTGTAGACCTTGGTTTACCGCGGGGAAACGGGCAGAAATTACGGGTAAAAATGCTGACATCAGCAAAAATTGCTAAACAAAATGGCGATACTCGTATCCGTAAATCGGAACCGGGGTATCTTAACCTCTCTATTGACACCATAGACATAGGAGATATAGATTGCTAACGCATACCTAGCGCAGGCGGGGCCTACATGATAAATCCAAGATGGCGGTATAAGAGGGCAAAAAGACTATAGATTCTATTACGAAAATCAAGATTTTTGCATTTTTTGCCGTCGCATTGTTTTGAAACTTATTCGGTCAAATTTTATGGTAAAGAGAAACGTACCGCGAAGATTTTGAGCATATATATGATTGAATTGGATGAAAACTCGCAAAATTATCCAGCGATAAAAGTTCTTGTGAAATGGTCAGTTGGTCAGTTGGAACGTTTTATTGCCAGAAATACTGTGCTATGTTAACATCTAGTCTTGTGAATGGTGTTTTATACTTGCATCTTTCATCATCATCTGCTCTGTCCTCATAATTATGAAAAATGAACTGTTATGTACCCCCCCCCCCCACCCCCTCCTTGCTTGTTAGAGAAGTAAACTGATGCGAGCACTGGATAAGGGTCTATCATCTATGGTCTGTTATAATTTGCTTTCTATGCAAATAGTGAGCAAAAATTAAAGCAAAACTGTACAAGTTACATATATAGTACTATATCAGTACTATACACGAACTTTTATCGCTGGATAATTTTGCGAGTTTTCATCCAATTCAATCATAAATATGCTCAAAATCTTCGCGGTAAGTTTCTCTTTACCATAAAATTTGACCGAATAAGTTTCAAAACAATGCGACGGCAAAAAATGCAAAAATCTTGATTTTCGTAATAGAGTCTATAGTCTTTTTGCCCTCTTGTACCGCCATCTTGGATTTATCATGTAGGCCCCGCCTGCGCTAGGTGTGCGCATAGTTAATAGAGGAGAGGGTTTGGAAGCTGGGGGCGTGGCCAAATTATGTTATTGTTCTCTGTCACGTGACAATACGGGTGCATCAAAATCTATTTAGTATTAGGAGAATGTATTACAGAGGAGGCTGTTGTACTTGAAAAACGTTTTTTATAGAATGGATATCCAAACACCAGGAGCAAATTGCTTCATATATGGTTGCAGGACAAGTAGAAAACACTTTGGTGTTAGTATTTTTTGAATTCCAACAAAAGATGACGATTTATCGACGAAAATTCGGGAAGCGTTGGCGAGGCTTGTCACAAAGGACGCTGGATCGCGAGATAGATGCAAGTTTACGAAATCAAATCGCTCAACAAACACTTCACGTTTGTGAAAGACACTTTGGAAAGACCCGGCCGAAACATGTAAGTTATTTTCTTATGACTAACTAACAGGTTTCTCTGGTAGAGGTATTGATATTTCGGTATGAACGCTTGAAAGTTACAGCTTAGCAGAAGCTTGCCGTATGTATTTCATGTATCAAATGATCAAATTTGTAGCCATATGGAGCAGGAAATATATATTTATTAATGATTTGCATAAAAGTGCGTTTCGGTCATATTTATATATTAACAGTTAATCCTTGTGTTCATAAAATGAAGGTATACATAAATTCAGAACACTGTCACTGAGGACAGTAGAAACATTTTCGTATACAGTATTAAAACAAAGTATTATACAATATTCAAAGGCTATTTTAATAGCAAAAAGTGGCAAAATAAAGTAACAGGATTTTGTTTGGGCATGTCATAGTATAAGAAAGCCCCATTTACAGTTATTATCTATCTTGTTTGCTGTGAATTTTAGTCATTATAATTACTATCTTAACAATACTTGTATAAATTCAACTTATATATAATCAGGTATTTTATGTTCTGCTTTAGTTCCCACCTGCAAAAGGTGTGTAGCTGGTGCCATTCCTATCTTTAATTTACCCCAGAAAAGCATACCTCTCTACATCGACAATTGGAGCCAGATAACGTCGCTGGTCGTCACACTGGTCAGAGGAGTAAATGGTATGGTGGATTAGAAGAGGCCTTGCCGTAACGTAAACAGAAGAAGTAATCTGTAGTGAGAAATTTTGTGGGGTTTTTGTACCCAGAGCTGTCATTAAGGGCCTGTAGCTGGCCAAAATTACTGCCCACTTGGCTATCTGGCTGCCTACTTTTGTCTCAACAAAGTTCATATGAACAAAACTGTGAATCAGTAAACAAACCTTTTACTTCCTGTACTTCAGAACATCAAAATAAATTAAAACAAAAGATTAAATGATTTCAAACAGGTCAGGCTTTGATAGGATGTTTTGTAATC